TGCATGTGTTGGTACTTTTTTTTTTTTTTTCTTTTTAAAGTCAGTTATCTTGATGCACTGCAAAAAATTCAGTTTATAAGATAAATCTGAAAATTCATAACAAGAGATAGGAGTTATAAAAATATTAATCTTCCATATTCCTAACTAAGCTACACTAAGCATTCATATATGGATCCAAGATAAAAGTGTTTTTCTGAAACTTTTTTTAATAAGATGGTTTTCCACTGAATAGCATTCCCAAGGTAAAGCTGTTTCACTCTTTCACTTCTTTACTGTTGGGCTACGTATGTTTCTTTTCTTTTTTTTTTTTTTTTTAACTTGAGAGCTGACTGTTGCTTAAGAAGTTTTCTTATGGCAAAAATAATGTAAATAATTTATTACGATCTGCATTTTGCCAGGAACTCATTTATTATTAAGGTTATCATTTATTAATAAGAACTTTTCTGTTTTTGTTCTTTATAATATTACATTAAAGTTGAAAACTGAATAACAGGTACTTTTGAAATATTTGTATGCATTTGTTACCTTAAACATTTGGAAGAAGCACAAAAAAGTAGATTTAGTTAACCCAGAGAAACATCATTTTTTAGTAGTTCCAATTTTTATATCACAGTTTTATTTTCTTATGAAGTCCAAAAAACTGCATTGATACTCATTAATACAAATTCATTACTTAACAATAAATATCAAATAGTCTTCTGAAATAAGATATTGACTATTTTTTATTTTAATAGCACACTTCTTAGGCTCTCATTACCAGCTCTAAAGGACTTTTTAGAAATGATTCCTTATTCCTTAATATGTGGTTTATGAACTGTGTGTGTATCATCACTAACCCAGTAGCCATGAGAATAGCCTCTCTCCCCTTCCGTCCATCTGTCTCTCTTTTTGGTTAGCAGTGTTGTGTTTATAGTTGTCTTTGGAAAGACCATCAATAAAAAAGAAAGAGAGACAGCATGTTTAGCTGACCAGAAATAGAAATGAAAATTAGAGAACTTGGATTTATTAACTCAGTGTCATCATTAACGTAGGTTTTGCCACCAAATAAAGTTAAATCTCTTTGAAACTCTTGGATGAAAGGTGCTATATAAATGTAAATACAAAGGATTCTTACTGAAATACAAATATTGCACAACAGAAATATTCAAAATCTATTCTCTAGACTTTGAGATCTCTCTATCACGACTCCCTTGATTCAAGTATCAAATTGGTAAATGGGTATCATGACAGTCTAGAGACACTTTGCATGTAAAAAATGTAAATTTATTTTTGGTTGGGTAAGTTGAAAGTAAATGTAGACATTATGTTTTAGCTAAATACAGTAAGTGGGTAACTTAGATTTATATTAACTAGCATCTAATTTGCACAGCTAGGACACATCCCAGAACTGTTACTGAAAAGTTGAAATTTAATGAGTGTGAGGTGGCCCAATAAAGATGAATATCACACTTTCACCTCTCCAGGATACTAATATTCTAAAATAGAGAATCTGCTGAATTAACCAGCACATTACTGTTTCTACAGAAAATGCTGAATGACAGCCTTTGAAGTACTAAATTTAAAAAGGCTGATCTAAAAGGACAATTGAAAAGAATCAAACAAGGGGACATAGTGAGACTGTAAAAATAACAAATACTCTCAATTATATTCATCACCTTTTTCATACCATTTCAAGAAAGGACTAGATAATAACCACATGAATATTTTACTTTCTCCAAAAGCTACCGCCAGAAGCAAACATGTAGGAAGCCACTCTTTTACCTTACATACATAAACTTCTGTCAAACAAAATAGTAAAGCCAACTGGAAACTCACCAGGGCCTATTCCTGATGAGCCAGACATACTTTTAATTTTCTGGTTCTACTCTGAATCAATACCTAAAACCCCTAAGGAAACTGAAAAATTCAATATACAGGGTAATAACTTTGGCCTAGAGCTGTAATCATGTGCTTCAAATCTAGCCATGTGGAAATGTTTTGGTCCAAGTTTTTGAATTGGTGGTTACCAAAGAGTTTATAAGACAGGTTCGTATGTAGCACCTTTCATGCCAGGCATGGTAAGGGCCTATTTTAAAAAACCACCGTGCGTGTAATAGAATTGCAGCCACCTCACAGATCAAGTTCTACAACCTGTACTGTCTTAACAGATTATGTCAGGAAATGAAAATGATACTGTACCAAATCTGAAATTATAATGGGAATAATAATGTATTCTAAATTACTTTTGTATTTTAAGTTACTTTTTAAAAGAAAAGTGAATTTTGTGTTTTTCTTTTCGACTGCTTAATCCCAAAATGTGTTTTTCTTCTTAAAGCCTTGAATGAGTAATACAAAAGGAGCCCATTTTATAACATACAAACTTGATGTACATGTTATTTGGATAATGAAATGCCTTAAAAGGAACGCTTAACGGATAATGTTGCACTTACAACCCCCATTAACAAAACCTGATTTTAAATGGCCTTTTTCTTTTCTAAGGGTTCTTTCTTCAGTGTTTGCCATTGTACTTACAACTGTTATTAAATACCAAATCAATATATAACTGTAACATTTCCTTTAAAACTAATGCTGATGAGAATTTGGAGTTGAATGGCAAAATGTTTATTACTTGGCAATACTTAATATCAGCCATAGAAATCCAACTCGTGAAAAGAGGCACCATTGTTTGATTTGTCTTTTAAAAACATTCATTTTCAACTTAGCTTTTAACTTTGTTTCTCCTTTAAAAAGTTGGATTAACATTCACTTTTCAGACTGATATATAAAAAATAAAAGGTGATTTTTTACAAGAAGTAGTAATCATTTTTAAGTCATAATTTTAACCAAGTGTCATTCTGTACCCTGGAGAACTACTTTCAAATGTAATTCCTAACTTCAGATTACTTTGCTCTTATCATACTGGGATGAGTATTAGAGGTTTGGGGAGAAAGTGAAGAGTCTGTCAGTTCTCTCAATCCCAAAATAGGTATAAATACAGTTTACATATATTGGCCCCCCAAATAGGCCAAAACCCAGTGGATCCCTGATAAAAGTATTAAGTAATACCAAGTTCTATATGTACTGTTTTTTCCTATAACATACATAACTATGATAAAAGTTTATAGACACAGTAAGACATTAATGCTAGTAACCAATAATAGAATAATTATAACATATTATAGTAAAAGTTACATGAGTGTAATCTCTTTCAGTATCTTATTGTATTCACTCATGAGATGTCAAATGATAAAAATAATGTGATGAAGTAAGGGGGGTGAGGTATGAAGTAGGAATTGTAACAATGATGTAGGAATTGTAACAAAGCATTAGACTACTACTACCTAAGAATTACTTGAACAGCAATACTACAGTTATCCTAACACAGTTGATACCACTACAGTTGATCCTAACACGGTTGACCCACTGTCAGTCTGCTAACCAAGAGGGCTACTAAGTGACTACAGGGCTGGTACAGCATAGATACACTGGAAAAAGAAATGATAAATACCCCAAGCTGGATGAGATGTGAGATTTCATCATGCTACTAAGAACAACACCCAGTTTAAAATTTGTGAATTATTTCAGGAATTTTCACTTTAATATTTTTGGACTGTGGTTGACCATGAGTAACTAAAACCTCAGAAAGCAAAACTGCAGAGAAGTGGGGACCAGTGTACTAGACTGCACAAAATTACAGACTTTGGGAGGCAATCAGACCTCCTAGACCTGTTTTCACCATCAGACAAGCTTCTCAAGGTCCTCAAATTGTGATTTTATTCCTTCATTTTATGTGCAAAGCAACCTAAAATTACTATTGTCACAGAAATACAGTACAGACTAGTTAAAAACTAACATGGAACCTTACAGTCAGGTAATCATTACCTTTATTTTACCTTTCAGTAACATCCCATTTGATTATGTACTAGAGAAAAGTATATGAATTTTAATGACCCACAACAGGAATTCTTGTAATCTAAACCATGTCAGATCCTCAGTTAAAGAAGGCTTTTGTTTGATTCTAAGTGAAGTGAAAAAAAGTCAAATTTTCTGGTTTTTTTAACTAGTTTCTATATGACAACCAACTACATTTTTATAGGCTTTTATACTATTTCAGATGTCATAACTGAAAGAAAATGAGTAAAATCCTAGAAATAGTGTAGTAAAATACCCTAAAGGACAGAAGAAACTTGTGGAAGTATGTTCAGATTTATAACCTCTGAACCAGATAATAAATCATTTTTAATGGCATAAAAATCAATGGAACACCCAACAACGGAGTTTTTATCCTTCTCTCCCATGTTTGTTTTAATTATCTTGTTGGGGAATCCTTATTCCTTAATCCCCATTTTCCGAAATAATAACAATTTAATATATTCCTTTTTTATTGTATTATGTACATTACCATGTGTAAATTTCACACACACTGTTTTTCAGCTTGCTTTTTCAAGTACAATAAGCATTCTAAAGATGTAAGCTAGCTAAAGCTAAGCGTTCCTAATTGTTTAAGGCATTCCTGTAATGACTTACTGTTATAGGAGATGGAAAACAGGATCTGAGTTGACTAAAACTACCTCAGTATGTCTTTTATATTTTTCAGTACTGAGGATTTAATCTAGGGGCATTTCACCACTAAGTTATAATCCCATACTTTTTCATTTTTATTTTGACACAGGGTCTCACTGAGTTGCTTAAGGTCTCACTAAGTTGTTGAGGCTGGTTTCAAACTTGTGATCCCCCTGCCTAAGCCTCCTGAATCACTGGGATTACAGTTTTGTGCCACCTCGCCCAACTCCATCTTTTTTATTTATTTATTTTAATATTTACTTTTTAGTTTTAAGTGGACACAATATCTTTATTTTACATTTATGTGATGCTGAGGATGGAACCCAGTGCCTCAATGCATGGTAGGCAAGTACTCTACCACTGAGCCACAATCCCAAAACCAAAGATACTACTTTATCACTTTCAATTTTTTGATTTTTATTTCATATAATTTAAAATAGTGAATTGTTATATATTTGTACAGGCACACAATATAACTATATAATATGGTCATTTTTTTTTCCTCCAATACCTCCCCTTTCTCTCCCCTGTTCCTGCCTCCTGGTACTCACTTTCATTACCAGGAAAAAAAAGTGGGGAGTAGGGGATAAAATAGGGTACCAGAAATAAAATAAAAACTCCATGTCCTTACCTTCACCCCAAGGCCTGTTTTCTTCTAGGCCTGAATTCTTAAAAGATTCAATAAATCTTATATATAATTCATTTAAAAAAAATAAAATTACAAGAAAGACAGTTTTCAGAAATACAGTTATTCGGAGCATTAATTTTTATCAAAATTTAGTATTATGGGATCATGTCCTGTCATCTTCACAAATGTAAGAAAGTCTTCAGGGCTCAATCCCATGGTTGCAGCATTGGTCATTGGATGAAAGTATACCTTTTCGTGTCCACCTTCCAGAAAAGCAGAATCCAGAACAAATTTTACATCTCCATCATCACAGAAGAGGGCCAGAGGTGTGGCACAGCCTTGACCAACTTTCAGTTTTTCAAGCATGACTGTTTCATCAGCAAATCGCAGACCTCCGCTCCCAACACCTAACTGTTTGGCAAGATCATTTAAATTAATTTGTCTATCATGAAGAACTGTCACCAACCAATAGTTTTTTTTCTTTTTGTCTTTAAGAAATAGGTTCTTACTATGTGCTCCTTTCAGATGCTGGATATGAGGCATCATTTCTTCAACTGTAAACACCTACAAAATAATCACATATATGAGAAGTTTAGGAATTAATATGCATATATACATACTTACACATTATGAAATATTTACAATCCCTTTTCTCAATTCCTCATCTTAGGATCTCAGGCAGTTTCTCTTTAGACCAGTGTTCCATTCCAAGGTGCAGCCAAGCATGCTCTCACATTCCAAAAAAAAAAAAAAAAAAAAACTTTAAACTTTGGGTATTAAAAGTAGACAGCTGCATAAAACTTGGAAACTTACATAAAAAGCATCAAAAAAATCTGGCAATATGCACAGGTAAAGCCCAGCACAGTGGCACAACCTGTAATCCTAGCGACACCTGTAATCCCAGTGGCTCAGAAGGCTGAGGCAGGAGGTTTGCAAGTTCAAACCTAGCCTCAGCAATTTAGCAGACCCTATCTCAAAAAGCGGGGGTTGGGGGTTGGAATGTGGCTCCGTGGTTAAGCACCCCTCAGTACCAAAAGGTGGGGGGCGAGGATGTCAGAGACCATATGGAAGAGAGGAAGGTCAGAAAAACAGTCTTGATGTTGGATTTGTAAAGGTAAGGAATACTAATTTTGTATTCTAGTCTTTGGAGATCGCCATTTTAGCCATTATCGACTGTCACTTTTGGGTAAGCTTTATGCCCCTGCACCACTCAAGTTACACTAGTTTCAGGAAACGTACAAATATTCACATTAGTACATTAAACCATGTTAAGGGCTGGGGGTTGTGGTTTAGTGGTATAGTTCTTGTCTTCCACCTGTGAGGCACTGGGTTCGATTCTCAGCACCACATATAAATAAATGAGTAAAATAAAGGTTCATCAACATCTAAAAATATGTCTTAAAAAATGTTAAAATGTGCATATTCGCAACCATTTTTTTTTTTTGGAGGGAATGGTGATTTTTGCCATGCTGGTAAAGTGAAAAGAGTAACCTTTGTGATAAACTGATCCATGACTGCAAAATATCAACCCCTCACCTCCGGCTGTACGTAGGGGCCACTAAATAGGCGGTTTGGTGCTTTGTATCACTTTATATACACAAAGTGGACAAACTGACCACAACCAGACCGGTTAGATGCACAAGTTTTCCATATTTTGAACTAGTTCTCAACATAGTATGTGATCAAGTCACTCCAAGAAGAAAACAAGTTTCAGGACAACCTTACAGTCCTAATCGAAAGCACTCTGCTGTACATCACCCCTGGAACGCCTGATCTCCACGGCCTCGGCGGATGGACCTGCAGTGAGCGAGCACCTGCTCTGGCCAGGGCTATCCCTGTAGTCACGCCTAACGCGAAAGCCTCACCTCGGGGTGTTCCACGACCTCGGTGCGGATGGCAAGGGCATCGAGTCGCTGCTCCAGCGCTGCACGCAACTCAGAGCCCGCCATTCCACCGCCACGCCGACAGCCTGAGGCGGAAGTGCGGGAGGGATGGCAGCCGAGCCGGAAGCCCAGTGTGCGCACCTTCCGGATGCGGGGCCGCGCCGCCCTGCCACTCTGCGCCAGCCTACGTCTCCACGCGCTAATACCTGCCTGCGGCAGGGAGGTTACTGTATTCGCTCAGTGCCCCCAGATCCGGCCGAAAGTTTCCTGGGTCCGCACGTTTTTCGTTTAAATAGAATCCATTTCCATTGCAGCGCTAACCGGGACTCACTTTTTGCTTGGTAGTTTGATAACATCTTGGTGCAGTGTTTTCAGCTATACTGGCAAACACGCATTCACCACTTGAGTGAGGCATGAAATTCCACGTTAGGGTTTCACTTAGAGATTTAGATTAAGACTCAAATCTCATACGGAACCTGGGAACGTTCAATGTTTGTGTGGATGAGTTCGGGTAACTTCTCTTATCACTTGCAAAATGAGTCTTTACCAGGAGCCTTGGAAGAAGCTGCAAAAGAAAAAGAAATCAGGGCTGAATTTACAATTAATTTCACCCAGAACTGACTTTAGATAACACAATTTTCTCAGCTTTATCTGCCTCCTAGACTTTTAAGTTGTGGTTTTTTGTTGTTGTTTTTTTTTAATTTTTTATTGTGGGTTGTTCAAAACATTACAAATTTCTTGACATATCATATTCCACACTTTGATTCAAGTGGGTTATGAACTCCCACCTTTACCCCATACCCAGATTGCAGAATCACATCATTTAGTTGTTGTTGTTTTTTAAGGTCCATGTTTGCTTATTTGCTTACCCCTCCCCCTTCTAGGCGCTGGGGGTTAAACCTTGGAGGACCTTGTGTGCTGTGCCTACCACTGAGCTACATCCCCCACCCCCACGCAGTTGTTTTATTTCTGATTATAGAAACAACAGGTCATTTCCCATGGCCTCAGTAAATTCAGATCAACAACAAAATTTATCGCATTACACCGTTACAGGGCATTTGGAAAACAAGAGTAAAGATCACTCAAACTCCAGTGTTCCTATAATGCTATTGCTACTTAGGTCTGTCTTTCCATTCTTGGGCTTGTTTCTTTTATTCTTGTTGTTTTGTATAAACGAAAGTTTTTCAGATAATTGAAACCTTCATATATACAGTTTTGTATCCTGCTTTTATCAGTTACAAGCATTTTCCTGTTTCTACACTGTTTTCCTATTTTAATAGATATGTATTAAATCATAGTTTTGTTAAGAGTTTTTATTAGTTTTTGTTATTTTTGAGGTACTGGGGTGGAGCTCTAGGCCTCATGAATGCTACACCAGTCCTTTTCCCCTAAGCTACATCCCCAAACCAGGATAATAATTTTCTTTATCATTTCTGCATTGGTGGACATCCTGTGTTAATGAATTCTAATATTCTAAATCGCTTTCCAAAATAATTATTCTTATTTATAATATATTAACAATGTATGAATTAACCCATTTTTCTACATTTTGGCAGATATATAATTTTAAAATTTGACAGACAAAAGGGACCATTTATTTTTTAATATGCATTTTTCTGATTATTGCATATATGTATATATAATTTCTAAATTAAAATTTTATTTATTTAATTTTATTTACTTATTTATTTATTTATTTATAACAGTACTTGGGATTGAGACCAAGGTGTTCCACCACTGAACTATATCCCCACTATTTTTATTTTTGATTTGAGACAAGATGTCACTAAATTGATGAGGCTGGCCTTGAATTTGTAATCCTCCTGCCTTACCTCATGAATTGCTGGGATTACAGGCTGTGCACCAAGCCCGGCTGTAATTTAATTTTCTTTTTCTTTTTTTAATAAGCATTTTTTTCTGATTACCCAGGACCTGGATATGTTTCCATGTTTAGTCTGTGGTCCTACCAGCCTGAATGCACCTGATCACATCTGTTTCCATGTTTATTATTTTATTTTCCCATTTGTGAACTAGCTTTGTTCCTTTCTTGACTCATTTATCCACTGAATGAATATTAATGGGTTTGATACTGATAAATAATTATCTTTCATTTGTCATATATCCTCCAAATCGTGTTTCTTTCATTCCAGCTTCCATCTACAGAAGTAAACTCATTTTTGTGTAACCAAATGTCACTCTTTTTAAGCTTTTTTTGACCTAAGTTTCTAAACTTAGGAGTTTAAACTCCAGCAATAGAATATTCAGACTATTTTCTGTTTTGTTTTCTTAAGAATATTTAATTATGGGGGACTGGGGCTATAGCTCAGTGGTAGAGTGCCTGCCTTGCACGTATGAGGCACTGGGTTCAATCCTCAGTACCACATAAAAATAAATAAAGACACTGTGTCCATTTACATCTAAAAAAAATTTTTTTTAAAAGAATATTTAATTATGGGGCTGGGGCTGGGGCTCAGTGGTAAAGCGCTTGCCTAGAATGTGCAAGGCACTGGATTTGATCCTCAGCACCACATAAAAAATAAAATAAAGGTATTGTGTCTATCTACAACTAAATATATATATTTAGTTGACATATATATATATATATACATATGTATATAAAAGAATATTTAATTAATTAAAATGTATTTAAGATTTGCTTTAGCATATTAGGTGTGATGTGCTCACTTTTTTCAGTAGGTTTTGCCAAAAATGAAATTTGAATAGTAAAGATTACCCATTCCAAGAAATGGCAGACAGCCATTTTATTTATTAAACATATGTGTGATCACTGCATGCCTGTAATCCTAGCTGCATGGGAGACTGAGACCAGAGAATTTCAAGTTTGGGGCCAGCCCTCTCTCAAAAGCTTAAAAAAAGACTGGGAATGTGACTCAGTAGTAAGCGCTCCCTGGTTCAATCCCTGATAACTAACACACACACACACCCTGGTGTACACTAATGATTTGTTTTTGTTTTGTTTTGTTTTAGGTACTGAGGATTAAACCAAGGGGTGCTTTATCACCGAGCTACTTCCCAGCCCATTTATTATTTTTTATTCTGAGACAGGGTCTTGGTAAATTGTCCAGACTGGCCTCAAACTTGTGCTCCTTCTGCCAAAACTTCCTTAATTGCTAGAATTATAGGTGTGCACCACCATGCCTCAGCACTAATGGCTTCTTTAATTTTAAGTACCTGTGATTGAACAACCAAGTATACTGCAACCAAGATTTTACAACCCAAGACTTTTGTTATAAAACAGAGCTAAATAATCTATGGTGAAAGAACTATGTCACTGATCAACAAACAAAAAACTACTATCATAACTCAGGTTTAATGCAATATTTATTTGTTAAACATATGTGTGATCACTGCATTAAATGCTATCCTGAGTATAGTCCTTTGTCTTCAGAGCAAATACATTGGAAACAGTAATAATAAGAAATAGGTTACATTAAAAATTATCTACAGTGAACTGAATTAACTCACTGATTGGGTTAAGACTCTCTTACAACACAATCATTTCTCCTCTGAATCTTCTTTCATTGTCTCACACATGAGCTTTTGGGGGACATCATATCTAAACCATAACAGACATGGATTGCAGCAAGCATTTAAAAAAGATAGGTGGGCTCTTGGAGAGAAAGAAAAAGAGATCCTTACTAGATGGAGGCCCAGATATATGAGCATGACCAGACATGCTTGTCTGGTTAGATGAACAATTCTTCAGTGTATGCTTGTACCAGATCAACTAGAAGAAAAACATAATAATTTACATGTCACCAAGTTCAAAGATCTACACAATGTGCCCACACCTAATTTATAGCTAGTCGCCTTAACCAAAAAGAAACCTGAGGAGCCACATACATGGCCAGTGTGGATGTGGGATGAAGAAATAACTTTTTTTTGAGAGAAAAAACTGATGCAGACTGCCAAGATGAGGAAGTTGCAAGATAAGAAAGAAGCCTCTGAAGCCAAAGTACAGTTGGAGGAGGATTTATGAACCTTGAAAATACCTCTTGGTTTCCCCCATATTGTTGATGGAGTTCAAAGAGGAGGAAGATTAATACCTGCAAGCCTGGCCAGTGGCAAACAGTGGTAATGCAGAAAACCAAGCAGCAGCAGCCAAGGGCTCTTGTGAACAACAGGTGGATGGTGGACTTTGGAAAACAATTTAGACAGAGGTTGGGAGAGTCCCTGGCTGCTTTGTGGTCATGCCTGTGAGATTTAAGGGTGCTGGGAATCAACAGGGGCAAGACAGTCCATATGCTATATGTTATTGATACTGCACAACCTTGTGACTTAGATTGCTAGAAACCAGCAGGGGCCAAGAGAGAACCCAGTGTGCTAGGAGCTAACAGGGACCAAAAGAGAGCCCAAGTGTGCCAGGAGCCAACAGGGGCCAAGAGAGCCCAGATATGCCAGTAGCCAGAAGGGAGGAGAGACTTTAGGAGGTGTTAGAGCCTGTTACCTGTGAAGGTGTACCAGAAACAAGAGGTAAAGCACTTATACCGTCCAGTGCTTGTTACAATGATGGTTCCAGCTGTGGACAGCTGCATGTGTGGATGTCAGTGGCTGCAGAGCCAGAAACAGACACTGTCTAATTTGATAATAATGCAGGACAAAGTAGTCAGTGAGCTGAACTACACACTGTTGATGATCATAGCAAATGAAGCATCCCCTATAATGATATGTACTGGCAGTTGTGCTGTGTATGGGGGCAAGTTCTATGGCAAGAGAACAAACCTGTTGGGTGACTCTCATACTTAAGTTTAGAGACCACTAGTCTTATTCAGTAGTATTTTTTCCCCAGTAGCTTCTAGTTTTGAAATTATGATTAGAATGGTCTTTCCTACTCAAGTCAATGAATCACATAATTAACATTATCTTCTCATCTTTAACATTTAAACATTTAATCCATGTGGAATTTCCTACCATAAGAACTATAATGTTCTTGAGGACAGGAGCCTTACCTAGTAGGCACCCCTCAGAATTACATTACTTTCCAGGAGAGAAAGGCTTTGGGGATGAAAACCTTTTCCTTACCCTCTTAGGTTTATTCACAGAGATGTTTGAGTTAAACTAACAAAAGACATTATCAGA